CAATTCTGAGTTTATATCTCAATTCTGAGTTTATATCTCGCATTTCTGAGTTTATATCTCAATTCTGGGTTTCTATCTCATAATTTTTATTTTTTTTTATCCCATCGCAGAAACAAACTTTCATAAAAAATAGACCATTTCAGAGTGATACAAGCCCATTTGATCATGCTTATTTTGTAAAGTACAATAAGACTGGTCATTAGCACATAGATCAAGTATTTCAGGGTCATGTCATTTAGTTGTGACCTTTGACCCATTGATTGGTTCGTTTACAGCTAAAGAAGGTTCGTTCTCTGTTGTTGGTCGGCGCGAGCGACTACGATGGTTTTTCGCAGCAGTTACGGCAGCTGGAGGGGCCGCTCAAACTGTCGGCCAAAGATTTGCGCTCACAGGTGGTGCGTGAGGCCTGTATCACACTCGGGTGAGTAAAATGTTTGTTTTTAGACTAAAAGATACTAAATAAAAGCTGCTTCATCTCCTTTGATTATGTTCTGTAATATAAAGCAGTCATATCGACTGATAGCCATTCAGATCTCTCCGGGTTGACGCAGTTGCTGGTATAAACCATCATCCCGTTCAGCCGTAGTTGAAGATGGAGTGACTGCTGAGTGGTGCTGACAGACTTAGTTTAATGAAAAGAATCAATTAGTTTAAGTGGTCTGGTTTCAAACTTTGGACAGATTCCAGCATTGTAAGATCAGCTGCCCTTCATGATGAAGCAGAGAGTGTGAAGGCTCTTAGCGTGCATGAAAACACACTCTCATTAGACAGATGGGCTCCGTTCCAAACCATAGGCAACCGCCTTCATAGGCAACATCACAGCTGAAATGGAACCACAAAAACGACTTATTTGGAACACAAATGTAGCTCCTCATGTAAAACACACAATTGATTTCAGTTTAGCATATTAATGACATGATGCTCTAATAAGCATAAATATTGGGGAAAATAGTGTGTTTTAATTTGTATTTTAAATATTTTTAAATATGATATAAAAACATATTTTTATTGATTCTTCTCAGTATTGCGTGAATTTTGTGTTAATTATATATATATTTAAATATTATATAAATATAATATATAAATACAATTCTATATATTTTGTTGATTTTATTGATACTTTGCATGAGTTTTTAAGTGTTAATTGAATGTTTTATACAGTATATTCTATATAAATATAAATATGATAGAATTTGTATTAAATATTTTTGATGCTTTTCAGTATTATATGGATTTTATGTGTTAATTAAATATATTTAAAAATGTTTTATATAAATAGGTTATATATATATATATACACACACATATACATATACACATATAATTATATATATATATTTTGTACATTAGTCAATATTAAATAAATTTAATTGTAGTGTAAGTGTTGATTAAATATATTAAAATATATATAATATATATAAATAAATATTTCAAAACTTTATATTGCATTAATATTTTCATGAAGTTTGTGTTTATAGATACACGCACACACACACACACACACACACATAGATATATATTGCATGAAGTGTATTTATAATCTACTTCACAATGTATCACATTGCTTCACGTTTCATGCATTATTCTCTGCAAAGGATAGATGCAATGCTTAGAATAAAATTAGGTATCCTTGAAGGCATCATGGTTATGACAGCCTCAAAATGTTTTGAAACCGAATTTAAGTATTCTGTGTTAGTCTGATCTCTGATGTGTCTCTTCTAGGCACCTGTCGTCTGTGTTGGGCAATAAATTTGATCATGGAGCCGAGAACATCATGCCAACGTTGCTGAACCTCGTCCCCAACAGTGCTAAAGTTATGGCCACATCCGGAATGGCGGCGATCCGTCTCATTATACGGGTGTGTTTACACACACACACACACACACACACTCACGCACACACACACTCTCTCTCATGCACGCCACACACTCACTCGCACACACACACTCTCTCTCTCTCTCTCACACACACACACACACACACACATATGGGCAGCTGATGTTCTGTGTGACACACAGTCAGCCGTGATGTTGGATTCAGAGCGGCAGACATGATCAATAAGATTGATCTGCATGTTAGTTGTGTCTCTTCCGGTGTCCTGCACGTGTTTAGTGCAGGTTTTGTGGGTCTGATGAACATCACAGCAGTTAGAAACATCCCAGAGTGCTTCCACTTGAATTATTCTCCATTCCTGATGCAGTCGAAATCATTTTACATCAAAATAAATGATGCTGTGCAGCGCAGCTTTGGTCTGTGTGTTTGTCTGCTACGGGAGCAACTCAACCGAGATTAAACAGCATTTATACATGGAATATTTGTATTAAGTTGTTAATATTATAAATAATAAAAATGCATATATAACATAATATTAATTATAGCATTTGTATACTGTGTATATGTGTGTGAAGTAATTAATATTATGTTTTTTTATAAAATATACTATTAATTATAGTACTTATACATGTATTTTTATTATTTATAATATTATTTCAATGTATATATATATATATATATATATATATACAATTAATGAATTGTAAGTGTTAATTAAATACACTTACATTTAAATACATTTTAAATATTTTATATTAATATATATTATATGAATATTATATATAAATGTAATTCAGTACTTTTTTATTGATCCTTCTCAGTATTGCATGAATTTAAGTCTAATTAAATATATTTGTAAATATAAATATACAAATATTGTATGGAAATATAATTCAATATTGATTATTGGCGCATTTCAGTATTGAATGAATTTAAGTGTTGATTAAATATATTAAAGTATTGTAAATATTATATATAAGTATAAATATATGAAATTATAATTATATTGCATGAATTTCAAGTGTGTGTGTATATATTTATTGATTATATAATTAATATTATAATATATATGCATATATATGTATATATATATATATATATATACAGTGGTGTGAAAAGGTTTTTGCCCCCTTCCTGTTTTTTTTGTTTTTTGCATGCATTATCTTTGTGTAATATTTAAATTTGTTTGATGATAACAAATATGCAAAAAATAAAAAAAACAGCAAGGGGCAAAAACCTATTCACACCACTGTATATATATATACATTCATTCAATCATATCTGTATGTGTGTGTGTGTGTGTGTGTGTGTGTGTGTGTGTGTGTGTGTGTGTGTGTGTGTGTTGTTGTAGTAACACTCTGTGATGTGTTTGTTTCTTCTTCAGCACACTCACTATCCACGGCTGATTCCCATCATGACCACCAACTGCGCGTCTAAATCAGTGGCCGTCAGACGGTGAGGACACACACACGCACGCACGCACGCATGCACACACACACACAGGTTTACATTTGTGAAAAGTGGGGACTCTCCATAGGCGTAATGGTTGTTATACTGTACAGACCGTATATTCTATTGCCCTACACCAACCCTACCCCTAAACCTACCCCTCACAGGAGACTTTCTGCTATTTCAGATTTTCAATACACTCCATTCTGTGTGATTTATAAGTGTTTTGAAAAGAGGGGACATGGGGTAATGTCCTGAAAAGTCACCTTCTCCTTGTAATACCTGTTATACCTTTGTCATTATACACATTTATGTCCTCATTTGTCACAAAACTGCACACACACACACACACACACACACACACACACGTGAAATAACACGTCCTCTCTGATCTGAATCGCTCGGATCTTAACAGGAAATGTTTTCTTTGACTTACAGACGCTGTTATGAGTTTTTAGATCTTCTGCTTCAGGAGTGGCAGACGAATTCTCTAGAGAGGTGAGAATTCACCATTTACTCACCCGCATGTCGTTCCAAATTTTTAAAAATAAAGTTGTTTATTTTATTCCTTGTATTTAGAAGAACTGCATGTCTTTTTCTAAAATTTGATTAAACTGAGCTACAGCTTTTTAAATATTATCACTGATTCTGAATCATTTGGTTGAACTGAAGATGAACTGGTTCTTTTGAGTCAATTTTTGTTAAATGAATCATTTGACCCTGTTCACGAAACTGAATAGCCTACTGAAAACATATTTTAGTGAGTTACTATCAGGTCTAGTTCTGGTTTATTTTATTATCAAAAATGGACTGGAGTTCTGTGGATTATTGTGATGTTTTTATCAGCTGTTTGGACTCTCATTCTGACGGCACCCATTCACTGCAGAGCATCCATTGCTGAGACACTGATGCAATGCTACATTTCTCCAAATCTGATGAAGAAACAAACTCATCCTAATCTCGGATGCTCTGAGAGTGATTTTTGAGTGAACTGTTTCTTTAAATGGCTTGTAGCTTTACTCTTGACTTTGAGCAGATGGAAAGCTCTTGTCCAGACCCATTTATGAAACCTGATGACAACCTACAATGACACTCGGGATGCTCAGGAGAGGATCTAGTGTCTATGTCCGTCTCATAAAGGGTCTCACAGATGAGATCAGCGCAAACACACTCAGAGTCAGGCTGACGTCCTTAATGAACCCGCACATGTTGGCCATGGCAGTGTCACCTGGCCTTCGCCAGCACTTTCCCGGTTAATCGGGTTTCAGCCGATAGATTGATTCCAGCTCGTGTTCTGCTGTGGTGGAGTTTGGCAGAGCCGCTGAATGGACTCACAGTTTTTATCCTCTCATCTCCTCAGGCACGTCACCGTCCTGATGGAAACCATTAAGAAAGGAGTTCACGATGCTGACTCTGAGGCCAAATCAGTCGCTAGAAAGTGAGTCATTATGTGTTTGTTTAATAATTATAACATGATTGTTGATGTCCAAATAATCTCTGCACTGATATAGACATTTTACTCAATGCCAAAAACTGAAATGCAGACCTAAATGAGCTGATTTGGGGAAAAAAAAATCAGGCATCAAAAGATTACAGTCAGTGTTATTTTAGAATCATTTATATACTATAATTTTTAAAATATATATTATGAATGTTTTTATTTTTGTTTTCTGTTTTCATTTAAATTTGAGTTAAAGTTTTAGTAAATTTGCAGTGTGTTTTGTCATTTTTATTATTCGTTTTTTTAAATATGACTAGATTCTATGTTTTAGTTTGTAATGTTGTATTATATTTACTACAGTAGTTTTTGTTAATATTTCGAATGTTTTCAGTTTTAATTTTAGCTAAAGTTTTAGCTATTTTTTTGTGTTTTTGTCATTTGTATTATAAATATTTTAAATAATTGTATTATTACTTTTGTGTAATTTTGTTATATACACACACACACACACTCTCTCACACACACGCACACACACACACACACTCTCACACACACATATTTCGAATGTTTTCAGTTTTAATTTTAGCTAAAGTTTTAGCTATTTTTTTGTGTTTTTGTCATTTGTATTATAAATATTTTAAATAATTGTATTATTACTTTTGTGTAATTTTGTTATACGCACACACACACACACTCTCTCACACACACACACACTCTCTCACACACACACACACACACACACACACAGACACACACACGCACACACACGCACGCACACGTACGCACGCACACACACGCGCGCACACGCATACACTCACTCTCACACACACACACACACACTCTCTCACACACACACACACACTCTCACACACACACACACTCTCACGCGTGCACGCACGCACACACACGCACACACACGTACGCACACACACGCATGCACTCACTCTCACACACACACACACACACACAGACACACGCACTCTCACACACGCACACACACACACGCATACACGCACACACATGTACGCGCACACACACGCGCGCACATACGCATACACTCACTCTCACACACACACACACACACACTCTCACACACACA